TTGAGTATCAGCATTAGTTGATATATTTGTAATAAATCATACTATACAAATGCGATTTTACGAGAGTTTTAGTTAATTAGAAAGTGTTCTAGCTTTATTCCTATTTCCGGGTTAACTCGTTACCTGTTTCAAGTACAGACAACTCAATCTATTGAATAAAATAAGATGTATATTATAAAAAAATTTCTGAAAACAAATAATCATTCTGTGGATTTTATATTTATTCAGAGGCATGTAAATGAGAGCATACAATGATTTCTGTAAGGCATGAGGCACTTTTGATCAAGAAAGGTGTAAGGAAAGAAAGATTTTAAAAGATTTTTGTGTTCAAATTTTCATTATGGTCTCTGTCTTTTACCTTGAATGAGATTTTGTTCGATATTTAAAGTTGTTAATAGTGTGATCTACTTCTGTGGTTCAATGTAGATCCTTCATGTAAATATAAATATGTTTATATCCTTATTACAGTTTAGATTGTATAAGAAAAAGTGAGGGTTATGGTGAGCTATACGTAGCAGTTAAAATAGATTCTAATTTCGACAATTTATTGAAATTTGTCAAAAATTTTGACCCTTTTGGGATATTCAACTCAGACCATTTCCCCTCAACTCGTCCCAAATTAAACCGAAAAGTAGACGACTATTTTATGGCTAGTTAGATAGGCAAGAAATTTATCTGTTGAAAATTATAATCTTGTAATGAAACGACTCATTGAAAATTTTATTAGTATATTAGACAATTAAATGATATCTATTTGTATCGACTCTGAAAAGCTAATTCCTCATTTTGAGCTTAACTAATTAATTGTCATTCGAATCTACTCTATGAAAGCAAATTGAACTTTCTCACTTTCGAAATTTGAACTAAATTAAAAATTTCAAGCTTTGATGAATTCAATTGTGCTTTTTAATTAACGTAACCTTTTTGTTGAAGTTTAATTTGTGAAAATAAGTGCACTATTTTGCCAAGTTTAACCAGTTTAATTTATTTAAATATAATTCAACCGCTCTATTTATCGTTCTAAAAGTTTTCTTTTACCACCCTCTGAGATTAAAATAGTTAAAATTCTATTGCCATAAAATATTGAATGGAAAATCAAGTGATTTCGTTTCATCTTAAATTTAAATTGTTGTAATTTAGTTTCCCATCGCAATTAACACAATATGCAGTAAAATTTCAAACTATTCGTTAAATAAAATTTTCCTTTAATAAACTTCCAGTTACGACAGTATTCAAATTGATTTATCTCTACTATAGTGCAATATTAAATTACTTCCATATTTCATTTTATGAAATAAATGTTTTTGAATTATTCTTTGCTTTTTTATTGAAACTGGTCTAAAAGTCCGAATACTTGTCTTGAATATCAAAAACTTGGCTAAAGTATTTGAAAGGAGAATATATTGATTTAGCGCTTAAGTTGTCAAAAAGTTGTCTAAAATTTGTCCGTGATACCCATTTGCGTTCTTAACCCTAGAAAAAGAAGCACAAAAAACATATTAAAAAGTATAATATGAGTAACATTAAAAAAATACTCTCAACAGAACATGGAGTTAGATCAGTATTCCAAGCTTTTCGGCTATTGCAGAGTTTGAAAACCATGGAATATTCGTACTTTGACAGCTTATCAGTTACTGAAATGTTATTTGCTTAATCTAGACTTTACGGTATTTTGATTTTTCATATACGTATAATGATATTTGCAAAAAATTACAATGTTGAAGTGATTGTTTTATAAAAAAAGAAGTAAGTCAATTAATATATATATATATATATATATATATATATATAAGCTCTAAACCGCTTGACTACTTCAGGAAAGCAAACAACCCTCCAGAGCAAATGCGCTCACTGGCCCTTGAGACAATCAATGTCAACTATCCTGCAAATCAATGGCTCCAAGTCTCCACTGATGGGTCTTACATAGGAAAGCAAGCAAACGCTGGTGCAGGTGTCTACTCTGAACTCTTCTCTTTCTACGCAGCAGCGGGACACAAGTAAGGAGATAATAACAAATATCGTGAAGCCTACCATTTGAAATAATATATATATATATATATATATATATATATATATATACTAGTTTGAATTTAAAATAACCTATTTTTCAAATGCAAGAAATTTGATTGCCTTATTGACGACACTCAGACCATGATGTTTTAAAATATAATTTGAAATTCAAGTTAAATCTACCTTTCTTTGCAGTGATTATTTTAACTTTTATTTTACCTCATAATGACGTAATAATTTCATTTGGGACTTATTCTAGTCGGATAAATGCTGGAACGATTAAACAAGTGGTGTTCTTTAAAATTTATTAGTTAAAGAAATCTTGCAACACCTAAATGTCGTCTTATTACCTAACTCGAACTTGCCACAGTCCTCACTGAACACATACTTTAGGTGTTTCCTAAGTCCATTGACAAAAGAAATTCTTTTTATATACTCTGGAAAAACGCCTTTTAGCTCAGTTATATTATTGATTAAATACCAGTTGCAAATAATTGGTCCAATCAAAGACTTAGGCTCGCTTTTAATCAATTCAAATCTCAGGAAAAGCAGAATTAGAAATGCTTCTGTTCAAAGACGATTTCTTGACTAAACAAAGACTCTAAGTTTGAATAAAAATCCTCTTCATATTTTCTATTTTGAAATCAAACTATCATTGAAGAAGTAATATTTTGACTGTTCTTAATAGCTGTCAAATATATATGGAAACCAAATAAATTTATGTATATTTGAAAATATTTGCTTGACTTATTCTTTACAACCACTTACACCTACAGCCACTGCTAATAGGCTTTATATGCAAAAAGTAAAAAAATACTGTTGATAAAAAATATTTCTAAAGAATTCTACGGGTTATGGTGGTCAAAGATCTACTATATCTAAAACATATTTTTATCGAACAAATATGCTGTAATTTGGACCATTTTCAATTTTTCCAACTGGGTATAATCCCTTACGACTATTGGTCAGGTGGTGGTAAATTCATTGGCTCACTGTCTATTCAACCAAGGCGGAAGAAATCGTCAAACGCGTTAGAAATTCAATCTGCATTGTCTATCAGGGAGATATTATATTATGTAGAGGAAAGGAAATGTTTGCGGTATGTTTTGAATATTTTTCTGTAGTTGTAACATAATTTTTGTATTTTATGAACTTATTTGGTCATGAACAATTACAACCTTTCTTTAAAGTAACTGTATCCAATGAAAACGTTTTAGTGGTATCACTTGAAATTCCCTCTTATTAACTCAAAGCCGACTAAGTGAATTCGTCTTTTTGCAACTAAATTTAATTAGGCATTCACTTAACAAATATATTTAATAAATGATAAATGACGGTCACCTTCTAGGACTGGATTTCACACTTTCTTTATATTTGCCATTAATTAAACTGAATAGTATATTTAAAATCTACTAATATTTTATCTATCTAAAATAAAAAAATATCTCAATTGAAATTATTAATAATCTTGTTTAGATTAGGCAGAATTTTAAAAAAAAGGAATTTATGATTTACTGTTAAATTTTATTTTGCAATTTATGTTATCTTTGTGTGGTTTAATTCGCGGTTTTATATGCTTTATTTTTTTCAATCATCAATTTTGATTTATTAGAGAATTCAAAACAAATATGACTATTTATATTCAGTTTAAATTCTAATAATTCTCACTATAGCGGCCTACTTTCAATAAATATTTGCCCAAACTTCCTTAACTCTATTAAAACTTGCATAAAAAACCACCTTTCAATATTTTTCAACGCATATAAAGTATATTTCATCCCTTTTTAATTCTGAAAGATCCTGCCTGAATTAATCATTGGATCTATTCTATTTCCACTGGCCAAGAAACGTATTGTTAGAATAAGAAATAAACCTATTTTTACTTACATTAATGTCTGAGCAGCTTATCTCGTTCATGAAATTTAAATTTTTATGCCAAAAACGATTTTCATTAACGAGAATCCAGTTAATTTGGAATTTTTAAATAACTTACTGCTCATTAAAGTTTCAAGTCTCCATTTGAAATACTTTTATTTAAATATTGAGGTTGTGAATCACTACAGTCACGTCTTTTTTCTCTGATCAAACTCAAAGGTTTTTTTTAAAAATACTTTGTGAGGAGCAAATTTCTGTTATCATTTATGTTCTGGCATGATTTATTAAGTTGCTCACTATAAAGTGGCGGAGAGATAATTCCAACCTCAAGAGAGGAGACAGGTTGTGCAAAGTCACCCAAACGGTAAATGCAATTAATGGGTGAAAAAGCACAATTGAAAGGCGCTACAAGACTACCACAGTCCAGTAGATGGAAATATTAGAAATTAGATATGGCTGTCTATTGATGCAAAAAAGTTTCAACTACTTAATGTCAGCTGAACCGTTATTACGCTCCTTATTTGGAAAAATACAGAGGAAAACCATTTTAATCCAATAAAGCTCCCGTAATATCAAAAAGAAGAGAATATGTGATAAATTACACAAAAAAATTGTTTGCTTTGAATTTGGAGCTTAGATTGTAAAATATTAGCCAGATAGTAAGTTCACGACTTTGGATTTAGAATTAAATATCGTAATTACCAAGCAAATTCGTGACTTTAATCTCTATTACTTACTGATAAGTCGTTCAATTATGTTTCTCATTATTTATTTTTATTCCTAATTGGACAAATTGTTAAGTCAGGCATTCAGGACAAAAAAGGTACACGCTTAGCTGAACTCACTGAAGTGCAGTCAATGTGAATTCAACAAACCAGAAATATGTTCTAAATACTTGAAATTGATTTTTACTTAGCCCATAGGGTATATCCTAAAACAACGATTGGAATTAATCAAATAATGTTAATAGAGCAAACTATTGAGGACATTTTGTAAATATTCCTTACTATCGTTCAATATTGTCTTGGTCTCCTGAATGTTACAGATATTTTAAAGAAACCAAATATTTTTTTAACTTTCTATTTTTCCCTTCTTGCCACTTCTAGAATCAAGAAATGCCGGAAATTCTGAATGACTCGTTGGACACATTTCCGGAACAAAGTGCCAACTTTTCACTTACAGAATCTGGCGAAGAAGATATTGTTAATAAACTCCACGTGGCGGTTGCAGCTTTGGGTCTGGTTACTAATTCAATGGTTGTGATCGTTCTCACCCAACTCCATAGATCACATCCAATTGGTGGGGGTGAACGTTCGGCAAGATGTAACCTTCTCGGTCTTGCTGTTGCTGACTTTTGTATCTGCCTTTCATCTTTGCCACTAGTATACTCAAAACGTGTCTACAGACGAAGTGACGTCATGTTTTATTATACCTTATTTGGGCCTGGTCTCGCCTCCACTTTCCTGACGGTGAGTTCATGGATGGTTGTATTGGTGTCAATCCTCCGATATCTTGCGATTTGTTGGCCTCTCAAATCTCGTTTCTACCTTAGAACCAAGAGCGTTATCTACGCTATTATAATAATCTATCTGGCCGCATTTATTTTCAACTTTCCGATATTTTTTCAGTATGATTACATAGTAGTACCTGACACTGAATACGTACACATTGTCGATCGAATTTATCCACATTTTTTTAAAGATATTTACGCTGTGACATATACAATCTGCACAAATGTTGGACCTTTTATTGCAGTACTGGTGACAAATATCTCCGTAATTGTGGCGTGTAAGAAAAGCCAAATAATTTGCGAAAATTTTGAAGCCGCAAAGCATAGGGACTACACCCACCCACCAACTTCCTCCTCTGGTAGCACGCCAAATAATGTGCCTGCTGAATCCTCAAATGGCAATCCTACTTGTAACGTCTTTTCCACGTCATCGGGATCTAGACAACGCGTCCGTATCCGAAGTCACAACTTAAGACCTCGAGCCCTGCATAGAGTTACTCCACTTCTGTTAGCTGTCATATTTGCTTTTCTTCTCTTGTCAACGCCCTTTGGAATTATTCACTTTATTTGCCTTAAATTGATTGAGAATATCGGCCCTCAGATCATTAAGAATACGCAATTATTACAAAGATATCACACTCTCAACCGCCTGCTTCAAATAACGAATTTCTTCCAGGTATTTGCGTGTGCAATGAATTTCTTTCTCTATTTTGTGGTTTCGCAAACTTTCCGACGAACAACAAAGCGAACGATGAGGCGCTTTTTCCAACGTTTTCGGCGTCGGAGGGGGTTGAAGCATCTGTGTGCTTGCATGTATTCGGGTTGCTGTTGTAAGGAAAGAAGGCCGTGCAAGAACGAGGCTTGCATTGTACGTGTCTATTCGCCCATTGAGTGTAGAAATCATCATAGACGCAGAAGACATGTTATTCCTATGCCTATTTATCAAGAAAGAAATCTCATTTCACCTAAAGTGGAATTACAACAATAGGTGCCCTGAGAACACAAGGTCGGGAGTCCCGGCCATCAAGGGACCCTGAACCCACGATAATTAAAAGAATGGAGTTGACGATATAGAAGATTGTACAGTAAATATGACGGAATGCATATTGAATTGATCCTGTTCACTCATTTACATTTTAATGAAATTATTAACGAAATAAAAGGGGAAGTGGCTAATCAAAAGCTCTTGAAGAATCACTTTGTTCTCTCATTTCACAGGGGATGATTAATTACTTCATGATCAAATATTTTCCGCTTATGCTAGCATAATTAATTGATAGATATAAAATCTTCTCATCGTCCAGTAAGCCGCAGTAGCCATGCTGTTCATTTAAAATTTGCATCGGTATCGGCAGGTCTAGATTGCGATTTTGAAACCCTTGACTTATCTCTTCCCCCCAACCCTTCCCCTTACCTTGTTTGTGATGGCGCATATAGTTCCTAATACATGTCATGATTGCAGCATGCCCATCTGTGAAGTAATGGGATTTGGAGTTGGCATTCAATGAGAGAATTAAAAGAAATAATTAATCACTGTATTGACTAAACCCTCAATGCCACCTCATGTAGCTAATTCCCCAACGTACCCTCAACTAGAAGCCAATGAGGTGTTGAATGCGTTTATAGTGTAGACACAAACGAGAAGTTTGCTTCTCGTTACTTTTAACTGAAGAGGGTTTTCTAAGTCACTGTCCATAGAGTAAATTTATGGCATGGGCAGAACGCCTGTCGTTACAAAGATAGCGATAAATAGATCTTGAATAAATAATGAAGCATCTATGAGCAGTGTAACTTCAAATGATCGGAAGATGGAAACTCAAAACTTGTAAGTGGTTTAAACAATACATTCATAGATTGCAAGTCTAGAAATCAATATTTATTAAATTAAAAAATGTGGACAAAGTTAATTTTCGATTTTCTTTTAAAATTTCTTTGATATAATTAAATACCTCAAAGAAATGAATTTCAGTGGACTTAAACGTTGAGTATAAATGAGGTGGAAATAAATACGCCAGTGGTCTGCATTAAAGGAAATCAGAAAATTTGATTTATAGCGATCTATTTCCTCCACCGAAGCATAAATTTGAAGGCATATGAGTACCCTGTAGCGAATTAACTATTACCTGTAACATGTTCAAATACAAGTTACTTGTGAGATGTCCATGAGTTGCACAATGAATATCTGATGAAAAGGAGATGGGTGTTAAGGTCCTACGGTCTCATAGAGGGGAAAATAGAATTATTTGAAAGGAAAATGAACTTAAACATGTTAGGTGAATCTTTTTTAAAATATACTCTAGAGTCAAAAACATCCTAAATTTATTGTGTAAAAGTGAGTGATATTCTCTGAAATATCTGACTGGTTTTATCAACTCGGAATATCAAGGAATATTTTGGTTAATTGACAAATATTTGGCACTTTCTTGGCTAATCCCAAAATACCCTAATCGTATAGTGGAATAAATCACATAAAGTTACATTTATGAATATGTTTAATGGTAAATGTTCCCCCAACGTATAAATATTTGCTCTGCAAATCATTTACAATAACCAAAAATGGTATGTTTATTCTCTTAAATCATCGAAAGAAGATGAGAGAGACAGCAAGTCTACAGACTCTTGTTATTGCAACTAATCTGACAAAGAAAGCTTTTCAATCGAGCAGTGGGTTATTTGTTGATTATTTAAACAATCGCATTAAATTCGACACCAAGGTTGGCTCTTAATATTAACTTTGGGGCCTTTTATAATTATGAATATCCATGCCAACCCATAACTCAACTTTTCGCATGAATAGAAGGTTGCAAAGGTTATTAGCTATTCAAATAAGAGAAATCTAGTAATCTTTTCATACTTAAATTAATCCGCAATCCTGATTTAAAATTTCATTAGAACATCTAAAAGTCCAGAACAATCTGAAAATACATTTTTATGCCTTTTAATAAAAGAAAGTAGACCGCTTTGACAAAAAAGAGAAGGAAATGCCGACCGTGATCAAACAAGACCGCACTTAACAACAAGCTCTAAACGGAAAGTCACATTGGTTGACTGTTGAACGTAAAATCACAATTCTCCTTTCTCTGTCATGACTATCAGTCTGCGTAAAAATTAATCGCACATCATTTCTAGACCACCCCTAGTTCACCTTTCAACTCAAGACAAGCTTAAAATTCTGCAGCTCTTAAACATGATTGCCAGAGTGTTGACCAATTTTTTAAAAGACACCGAGGAAATCGAAGATAACTTGAGTATATGACGAAATTGATATCTCCAGCCTCTGTAAAGCAAGGCTTACCTAGAAGCGTCCATCTATATTCGATACTCAGAAAATGCAGGTGATAGAATGGAATGGGTTTCGGTAACCTTTTAACTCTTTATCAATTGAGTTAATAATAATTTTCAGGGCGCGTCTAAATTCTTCCACTTTAACTCAGCTTATACTAGAAAGTTTAATGCAAGAAAAAAATAGCTGTTGTAATTGATTGTCTTAAACAAAAGCACGTTTTCTACTTAAATAATCAAATATGTAGTACTATGAGGTGTCTACTACGCCACTAAGACTTTGTAAAACAGGGACACTCAGCATAAACGTTGATTGTATTCACAATAATGAAGCATTCCTGCAATGTTATTAGTGAACATCGCATATGATAAAATATGTTTCTTCAATAATTAAGCAAATCTCCCTTTCAAGGTGGAGATGTCTTAACTTGTGGAATACGCGGACACTGTGGACACAATGACATCCCAAGCCGTGAGACTAAAATTTCAGCGTAGTACATCCGTTTATCCGAAACGGAAGTAAGCGGCCTACTAGTATTTATTACTACTATTAATATATTGCATTATCTACTGTAATGCTAGCTAGTAAAATTTTCAGTCACAACAGTAGAGTGGAAGGAGTAGACAATTTGCAAATGTTTCAACTTTAATTAAAGATATTTCATTAGCTTGGACAAGTTGTAAGTTACAGAGGGGAGAGGAATTATCAAGATCCTTTTTCTTGATAGTATCAAGTTGTGAGGAGGTCCAAGGAATTTATAGTTGGGTTCAGATTAGTCAATCAAGGAAAGCCCCGAGCGTGGGAAAAGGAAATTGTTATTCATTTAACATGAAACTGTGATAAGGTCAAAGCACACGAAGTTTCACGAATTGACCCCTCATATTAATGGATGAATTCAAAGCATGACGTCAGGTCAATTTTGTTGCAAATTTGGTCAAAACAATTGGATACATTTGTTTCCTAGGTTATATAATATCATGAAATTTGGAGTCTCCACTAGGGTTAAGACGTATGGCATATTCTAAAATTCAGTAAGGGTGACTAGCACAGGTGTCGTACGATTTAAGCTAATTTATTATTTCACCTAATCGCATTAGATCAAGTTCGTGTACTTGGAATAGCCACTTTATCATTACTTTTCTAATATTCTTTTATTTATTCAAAATCAATTGGATATAGAATATGGGAGCACTATTTCAATTTAAATCTTCGATTCAGGACTTGTGTCTATCTAGCTAATTAATGAGTTGTAACTGATTCAGTGTTGAATAATTAATTTGGTCATGCTGTGTGCATGTCTCTGTCTGGGAGACATTACCTCTCTGTCAAAAAATGACCTTTTTATATTTCCTCCTTCGAATATACTATAAATCAAATTCAACTAATGTCCTCCTTCCCATTTTTTCATCCCGACTTTGACGAAAAATAGCAATAGCCCAATATCCTCCATCTACGTGCATTGATTTCTTGTTGTATTTGATTCGATCAGTTCTATATTTATGTTGCCCTGCACAATCGGATTCGTAAATGCCAGTTAATTGTGAAATATTTGATCATAAAACCAAAATTGAAACTAAACCTCCCACCTCGAAGCTCAGTGCAATTGTCCCCAAATGTCATGAAAACTATTCTCCAGTTGAAGTGAACATATCACTTATCCTGGCCATTTTAAGGTCGACAGGCATAAATCCCAATTGAAACTCCCAGGACAGAAGTCTTTATGCCTCGCCTTCCTTCTTATTCGTCACCTAACTGCACTTAAGGCTGGGCACCTTTACATTTAAATTGCATTAACCGTTTTAAGGGAATTCTAGGTCATAGAAATGGTTCCATTTGACGTAAAGTGAAATCAGGATATGCCATGCGTTTCTTTATTAAAGTACCACAGAATTCAATCAATAGAAACGACGAAGGAGTGGTCAGTTGATTTCATTTCTGGAACAGGAATATCCAGATCGCGATATTGAGAGTACATCAGGTAACTGTGAGAAACTACCGATTTCATGATCTTCAGTTCATTAATGAGTCTGATTGCCTGATCAGTTTTTAATGCAATGCAACACAACCTTCGATTTGATGCACTTACTTTTCGCGTGGAGATTTCACTCGTTAAACTGAGTGGGAATCTGGGTATTGAACGAGAATCACCAAGGAATTTATATACAACTGCGACAAATTTTACTAATAGGTTTCTTTTAGCTTTTCTATTTATTCTATATGCATACACAATTTCGTGCATTTATGCGCTTTTAGAAAGATTAAAGATTTTTACATAGAGCTCTTTTGTTCCCCATAGCTTCATACTTTTGCGGTTTTGAAAGGATTCTATTGGACAGAGAATAAATAATTTTAGATGTTGAGATTTACAAGCGAATATTCGTATTCGTGTGTGTACTTTTGCGGTCTCTTGTATTTCCTGGGTCAAGTTTATGCAATGTGGAAGATAACGCAAAAGACGTCGCTTTCAACTCTAGAGTCATACAGTAAACATTTAGTTTAAACTAGATAATTTAATTTTCCTCTAATGACCAAAACAATGACTAATTTTGACAAAGCTTAAACCGGATTAGTAGAACACTCATTAAGAATGTTTCTTATGAATGAAAATAATTATTTACGAATGAATAACGCTAAATTCAGTTTTGTGAATTTGTCGTAATAACGTGAATCATGTATCGCAAGTTATTTGGTTTTCTAACGAAGCC